GGCCAGGTATTGTTTCAGGTATACTTCTATAATCAAAACAGTATACCTTGTCAAAAAGATAATATTCTTCTTGTAGAGTGATGGACTTTGCAAGGGAACAGAATTACATCTATGAGCCAAAATTACTGCCACAAGAGATAATTAAGAAAAACAGATATTGTACAATGCAGGACAGTTTTTCATTCCTTACTCAACACATGGAAGATGACCTCTGCCAGAGAAAGGCATGAAAGCAGATACTATAAGGATATTAAAAAAAACCCTATGCCCACAAGGAATGAGCCCCTAGAGTGGCGATCTGAGGGCGCTAAGACAAGGCAGGAGTGCTTGCATGGGTTCAGAAAAGGGAGTTCTTGAGTGTGTAGTTCAGAGAAATTTTAACAGAGCTTCCACCACTTCCCATAGGAAATGACTTCACAGCCCAGCTCAGCTCACTGTCAGCAAGTTTCCTGATAGTCAGGCAGTACTTTTCTTCCCTTTAGGTTCCTTATATAACATCTTAAGCAATCTCCCTCCTTCCTTCTGGTTATTCCCTTCAGATACAATTAGGCTACATTCATGGCTGCGCCATCACCTTTTAGAGGAACTAAATTCTGCAATTAATTATAATGGCAAAAACAGAGTACCTCTGCTGACATCAAGTAATTAACACAGAGGTATGCCAGGGCAAGAGAGCACTCAAACTACTTAAACAGTTTAAAATAAAACAATGCCCCCTATCGCCCAGTCCAATTCTCACTGACTTCATTTTGGTCTTATTGTTCACTATTTGGAAACATCTGTGTAAACAAGCGTGGGAGAATATGACCTTTCTTCATTGGCTTAATCCTATACCACAGTCAACAGAAAGTCAATTTGACCTGCTTTTTTTTTCTTTTCAGGTTCATTTTTCACAAATCAGCTACAAATTGTTTTGTATGCTCAAAAACATTTTTTATTACTCTCAAATTTCCTGTGAAAAACAGAAGCATTTTTAATAGAAATTATTTGTTCTAAAGTTTTATCAGGATTAAACACACAAAAAAAGGTTTTGATCGGGTCCAACATGATTAAAAATAAATATCAATATTTATTTTTATGAGTGTGTGTGTGTGTGTATGTATATATGTACAGCATGTACAATCTATGTATCTATGTATCTATGTATGTACAGTATGTGTGTGCATATTGTATGTATGTATATAATTACTTTTTTTTATGTATTTCTTATTAAATATCCCAATGCTCCCATGAGGTATTTTAGTAGTTATTAGGCCCATTTTAAAAATGGGGAAATTTAGGCAAAGGGAAATAAAGTGATTTTTCCAAGACCATATGACAGGTCAGTGGCAGAGCCAAAAACACAAATCCTGTTTTCCCAATTCTGAGTCCAGTGCTTTATCCATCCTGCCTCTGTGGCTAAGGGCTTGTGGGAGATTTACAGGCTAAGATACCAGGGTAATAGATGTAGCAACTGAATAGAGTTTGTGGGTTTCTCTCAGTCCCTTCCTATTCCTAAAAATCAAAATGATTCACCCAACCTAGCCTTTCTGTATATAAGCAGGGTTAGATGGGGAGGGGGAGGGATAGGATGGGCAGGGCAACTTAGCCACCACATCAAAATGTTTCTCCATGTAAGAATCCAGCTGGCAGTAACTCGAAGGAGGTGAGGGGGCACAACTGACGGCCTTGGAGGCCACTGACCGACCCAAGGCAGCTCAGTTACCACCATTTGCATTGAGCAATAATATATCATCCCTAGGGAAAAAATAACCCTTGGAAATGACCTTCTTCCTCAATGCTTTAACCCTTGAAATGCTCGCACTTCCCAGGCTCCCTGCCAATTTAATTCTCAGGAGAAAGGGTGGGTACTAATTTGGTGATACATCATATTGGCCTCTTCAATTAATCAACTCTTGACACCAATTTAAAAATAAAAGAGCATTCCCAACACTGGGCGGTGGACAATGGAAATGAGAGCTCTCAGTTTGCTGCAGAAAAATTAATTGACAAGACACTTTTCTTTCACAGATCAGCCTTCTTCTATCACCTTTTGATGCTATCCTGTTTATATCATTACTAACCTGCACCTTTGTCACATCTTTCACCCAGAACTTCAAAGCTCCTCAATTAATTCTTCTTTAGCCTCTAGCCTTGAAGATAACATATTAAACACAACAGATTGTGGGGCTGCAGGAAACTGAGGCACAGACCCAGTATCTGTGCTGCAAAACACATAAACACATTTGTTTATCCTCTGTGAAATCCTATGATATATGAAGTTTCATTTCTACCCAGGAGAACTTTTGCAATCTTTTCTCCAATGCCTGATGAAGGGTGTTTGTGCCCAAAAGCTTGCAATTAAAGAATTTTTATTGCAAAAAACTTGTTGGTCTAATAAAAAGAGATCAACTCTACTGCGAGTCCTGATTGCCTTTAAACACCTTTTGGGATCCTCCCACCCCCTATGAAATACCAGCAGATTCATGAACTAACCAACCACATGTCGCAAGTCATGAGAGTCAGGCCCAGAACCCAGGTGTCCTGACCCTAGATCCTCGTTCTGATCACTGAAACCTGCCGGATTACTGCAGTTGGTTTGTTATTCCTTTAAGAGGATTTGCACCTTGTAGAGCTTCCTGGGGAGCTGTTTGTTTGGAGAGCAGTTTCTGCTTTTCATGCAGTTGAAATGGTTTGTGTAACTGGAGGGTGGGGGGAATAGATCTGAAGCTTATTTTGTAACACTCTACACCCCTGCCCATCCTACAGGACAATCTTTAGTCCTAGGTTGAGTCAAGATAGATAAAAAGACGCTCCTCTCCATCTCTCTCTCTCTCTCTTTCCCACTCCAGCACACATACGCATGCATATGCACACATGCACCCGCGCACATGCACACGCATGCACGCGCACACAAAAGACTCCCAATTCCTTGCACTTTTCAGATAACTGCCCTCAGGCTAAGACCCCTTGGATCTTTTGCTCAGCTCATTTACCTTTGACAAAATTACCCATAAGCAGCCCATTTGTAATTAGGTTTAACTAATGCCACCATCAACAGCGCCGACAAGTCAGCTGGTATCTGACAGCTGGAGGTCATGGTGAGGACTCGACACAGTACAGCTTGCTGGCTAGGGCAAGAACCTGAATGGGGGAGGCAACCGTTATGCCTCTGAATCGGGATCATGGCAGCTATTTGCAATTGCAGGAGGATGTGGAGGAGGAGGGGAAAGGGGACAGGGTGGCAATTAGGTCATTGTTATTTCATTACTGTGATTCCACTATGTAATAGTCTTTTTGAAACAAACATCCTGGGCAGATCTTCAGCTGGGGCAGACAGACATAGTGGAGTGATGCTGATTTACACCAGCCAAGGGGCTGGCCCTGTGGACAACACACATTTCTTCTGCAGAACAAAAGAGCAGGCCCAAGGCAAAAGGGGGTTAGTCTGGGACTTGGGAGGCCCAGATTCAATTCCCTGCCTTACCATAGACTGGGTAGATGGCATAAGGTTGGGCAAGTCTCTTCATCAGGATTGTTAGAGATCACTAGGCATTTTGGAAAATCCCACAAGGCCCCTGAATACCGTTAAAAATCTAGCTCTTTTCCTCTCTGCAAATCACTTCCCCATATGTAAAACAGGGATAACAGCACTGCTTTACCTCGTGAGGATCAACACAGTGCAGCATGCCCTGAGACCAGAGGAAGGGTGAACCACAGAAGCACCTAAATAGATGCAAGCTTTTAACTGTCTGGTCACTTTTGTTCTAGATAGACCTACAGGATGAGGGTGAGAGAGAGGTAAAAGCCACAACTGGTTAAAAGGTTTAAGCATAGAGCCTATTCCACAATAAAAATCAAAGTCACTGAACAATCATCATCCTGGCCAGTATTTCCTGTTGTTTAAAAGCTAGCGTTCCTGTGTGAGACAGAAATCTGCTTTGCCAAAAAGGGATTTCAATGACAGAGGGGGCAAAAAAAGATTTTAAAAAATATAATAGTTAAAATTAACATGAATAGATACTGACCAGTGAGGGACCTCCATGCAGCCCAGAGCCCCCTGAAGGTATCAGATGACAGAGCTAGATGCCGGGTTGCTGGTAATTTTAATAGCAAATTAGTGGCCACATGCAAAGCATCAAGTTAAAGGCTAATGGAAAGATGGAAGGCCTGACTGTATTACTTAGGGACTCAGCGCTCCCACAGGCTTTCAAGGATTCACTGGGAGTTTGGGTTTTGCAAGGAAAGCAGGATTGTGTCCTTATTGATGAGGAATTACAGTCATGCACCTCCAAAGCTGTACAGCCTTTCAAGCCTCGGTGCTCCCCACTTCAATTACTTTCAATAAGCTGAAAGCGAAAGCTGGCACATATTTGCATGGCATTTGCTGTCCTCCAGTCCAACTTCAATCTAGAGGATGTTTGGGGCACAATATTGTGAGGATGAACAACATGAGAGGAGGAGCCAAGGGCTTTCAAGAATTCCAGCAAAGATATAATCGGGCAAATTCTCAGCTAATATAAATCAGTGTCCCTCCACAAATGGCAGAGGAGCTACACCACTTTACACCAGCAGAGGATCTAACACTAAGCATTTTTGCTGCTGCTTCTTCTGTAGGGCAGAGCAACTAGAAACGCCCCCCCCCCCATAAATTTTGGACCAAAAATTAAAAAAAATCAACAACTTCAGCATGCCTTTAATTTTAATCTATCACAGTATTGCTGAGAAAGCCAAGAAACAATGAATTCAAGACAAGGAAAGCGGTAACATTATCTTTAACATTTTCTATATAAAACCTACTTTTTAAAGGAAGCATCATTTCAAATGGTTAGAAAACCCTAAATTACCCCCATCTGTGATCAGCGAATATGTTGAGTTCGTCAGCTGGGATACGGTGTTTGCAGAAAAAGTAAATTCCCTAGAAGATCACTAGGAGCTTAGCAATATTCTGGAAATCAATATTGGCAGAGAGCAACCCACAGTAGAGTTTAGCACAGAATCCCTTCCCCACCGTCACTTACTACTTGTCTGAAAGACCAGAGAAAAAGTCGTGTCTTCCACAGCTCTCCACACTTGTCTAGGGTCTCTTTCCAAATACCTGGTGAAATCCTCTGCACTAGAGCTAAAGAGGATGGAAATACCATAATGTTCCTAGCAGGGCCGCCCATTCAAATAGGAAGGGGGTGTGGTCAGGACAGTGATCCAGGGGTAGTGGCAAAAGGCAAGCTGTAAGCTAGGTTCTGACACTGTTGCTGCAGCAGTGTAGATAGGAAGCTAGTAAGGCCACTGTGACCAGATGGGATTTCACACACTACAGACTCATTAAGATTAAACTTCTGTTACGTGTAATCAGCAGTGAAAGCCTCTCTCCAGGCAGTTGCAGGATGGGTGGGTTTGGTATCAGCCCCTCGGGATTTTTGAGCTTTGGAAATGGCTTTTATTCATTTTGTAAGGCACAAAGGGACAAATCCAAGAAAAGAGACAGGTACCGAGATTGGGCTGTAGGCAGAACGCAGGCTCCTAAGGCCAAAACTGTGGCTGCAGGCAGACACGCAGGGCGTGCGGCACAAATTGCTGCAGCCCACACCCTTGCACGTGTGCTTTGTTGCGGGACAAACTGTCCAGCACAAATTGCTGCAGCCCACACCCTTGCACGTGTGCTTTGTTGCGGGACAAACTGTCCAGCACAAATTGCTGCAGCCCACACCCTTGCACGTGTGCTTTGTTGCGGGACAAACTGTCCAGCACAAATTGCTGCAGCCCACACCCTTGCACGTGTGCTTTGTTGCGGGACAAACTGTCCAGCAATGGGCAAACTGCCCTTGCGCAGCTCCTCCTGGCTCTCCAGGCACAGCTCCTCCTGGCCCTGGCAGTCTTACCTGGTGGCCTGGAGCAGCAGAGGCACAGGTTGGACGGCATGGAGGACAGGTCGGCAGCCAGAGTGTTGCTCTGAACAACCCAGCCTCTGTGTGCGCCAGTACATGCTCATTGCACATGTGTTGTGCAGCTTTTTATGCCGGGGGTTTTTTTGCTACCGGCAAATCCTGGGAGCGCATTTTGGCTTCAAGCTGCAAATCTGCAACACTGGGCATGTTTTAACATTCACCACTTGCAGTCTGTGGCACCACAAAGAGGTTTGAGGGGCCACAAACCGCATGTGCCTGCACATCTGGATGCGCCCTGTGATTGCAAAACTTCCCAGTCAGATGCTGCCTGAGCTTCACAGGCACCTCAGCTTTGTACCTATAAGACTGTTTTGCACCGGTCCAGAAGCGCCTCATTCTTCACAAGGCTGAACAACTTGGCTGCTATTTTATGCCTAACCTGACCATGATATGGGTTCTTCCACCTCCCTGCCATTGAGATGAATGTGGTAGATGTGCTCTGAAAAGACCTATCACACGCCACTTTTTATGCCGGGGTTTTTTTTGCTACCGGCAAATCCTGGGAGCAAATTTGGAACCAGATCTGGCTCCACATAGAGTACAGGGACAAGTGCCTCTCTTTTAAAACACAGCCAGAGACTAAGGCAGCCAATCCTAAATATACAAAAGCTTAATGGTTAGAGTGCTCACCCAGGATGTGGGAGACCCAGGTTAAATTCTCCCATCTGCCTGCTCTAGAGCCCTAGCCACTAAGTTATTCTGAGCAGGACACTCTCCACCCCTCCTTTTTAAAGTTGTTCTGTGCAGAAAAGATCAAGATTTATTGATCCAGAGATAAAGCAACCTCAAGCTTGTGGTTATGTCCCTCACTGGGGCTGGGGAACAAGTCCCTGCTCCATGCAAAATATACAAACTGTCCTAGGAGTGAGACTTTGCACTCCCAGCTGAGTGCCCTAGGAAGTCAGGTGCCCTTTACTTTGACTTTCTGTCCTAATTCATAGGATTGTAGGAAGGTAGGACTGGAAGGGACTTCATGAGTTTACCTAGTCCAGCCCCCTGCTTAAGGCAGGATCATCCCTGACTAAACCATCCCCCCCAACTGTCTGTCCAAGCCGCTCTTGAAAATTTCCAGTGATGGAGATTGCTAGGTAGCCTGACTATACCACCCGCATAGTGAGAAAGTTCATCCTAATCTCCAATTTATATTTCCTTGCTGCAGTTTGAGACCATTGCTCCTTATCGTGTCCCCTGCAGCCACAAAGAATAGACTATATCCATCCTCTTTATAATCACTCTTCAGGCATGTGAAGACTGCAATCAACACCCCGCACCCACCTGCCACCTTCTCTTCTCCAGCCGAAATAATCCCAGTTCTTTCAGCCTTTCTTTATAAATCATGTCTCCCATGTATCCAATCACTTTTCTCACTCTCGGCTGGACTCTTTCCAATCTGTCCACATCTTTTTTGAACTGTGGGGCCCAAAACTGGACACAGTACTTTAGGTGAGGCTTCACCAGAGCTGAATGAATAGGGCAAAAGAAGCACTTCCTTGATTTGCAAGTGACACTCCTGTTAATACAACCCACTATGCTGTTGGCTTTTTTTGGAAATGAGCACACTGCTGGCTCATATTCCGCTTTCGGTCCACAGTAATCCTACAGGTCCTTTCTGCAATACTACAGCATATAGACAGTTCTGTGCGTTAACCTTGTGGTTTTATTTTTATTTTCAGTGGAGCAGTTTAAACAGCTTTCTCTAAGCAGTGAGCTCTTGGGTCCCCAGGGAACTAAACCATCGCCTCCTGGTCTGCTTTCAAAGGAAAAATAAGATCCTTGCTCCGAAGAGAATGGAAGTAACCACATCCCATAGGAGAAGGTGCTGAGCTACAATTCCTGAGTGTGGGCACGTCCTTCCCACCACTCCTGAGAAATGTGCTCAGTGCTTCCCTGCTGGCCAGCTCTCAGCAACTCAGCATATTACCCTTGTGCATCATACTGAGAGATGCAAAACTCCCCACAGACACTGCATCAGGAGCCCTGGTGCCTAACACCGGGTGCTGGATTCTACTCACAAGCCAAAGCTCAGAAGTCAGGTGATGAAATGCTCAGTGTCAGGGTACCTAGGACTCTTTTTTGGCACTAGCCCCTAAAGTCTAACTGGGCGCAAGCACAAATGTCCATTTGAGTTGTTAAGTAAAGTCGCCTCACCCCCATTCTGATATTACGAGAGTAGGAATTAATATAAGAAGTGGATATGGAGGGAGTGGATGACCTTGCAGTCACTTCCTGGCAATACTCTTGGAGAACAGCTTCCTCGCTGGAACACTCAGAAAGGGCTCATTTTAAACCAATACTGCAGAATAGTGACAGAAAATGAATTTTGAATTGAAAAAGAAGTTTGTTATTGGATATCCACACTTAAGGATTATTGTTAACCAAACAGGGAACAGGGAGCATATGAATCAGCTGCATTTAGCATACTGGGTATTAAAAATAAACAGTAGGAGCAGGCTCTAGACCAAGAATATTTTTGAAGAAATTATTCAGTGAATAACTTTTGTCTAGAGGGGCATTCTGCAGTCTCCATGGTTGTAGCATCTGACCCAAGAGCGCAGAACATATGGTCCACAAGCTGCATGGAGTCAGCCAAAGCAACTTCAGTGGCCTGCCATGCTTCTTTATTAAACCCAATTTATTAAGTGACAAAGGATTTGAAAAGCAAAGCAGCAAGTCCTGTGTCCTTGCTGCACAGCAATTCATGCATCTGGACACGTGCCTACATGTGTGATTCAGTTCCCCACTTGGAAACAAGCTGAGGGCTCGCATCTGACCAGAACAGATCTCACTAGTGGTGGCCTCCACTGAAAAGTGCACCTTCACTCAAGAAAGTTTGAGGTGTGCACCCCTAATCTAATAGCCTATCCCTAGATCCATAAACTCCAATTACAAAAATGCATGTAAGGTCAGATTTCCACAATTTTTGGCATATGAGAGCACAAATAGGTACCTAGCAAGATTGTCTAAAATCTTAAGTGGGTTAGATGTCTAGCCCCAATGAAAATTAGTAGGGAGGCACCAAACTCACTTAAACACTTCTGAAAAGCTTACTAGCAGCCAGTTTTTAAAGGTATTTAGACACCTAAAGATGTAGGTAAGAACTTAATTGGTGTTTTGAGATTAACCTAACTGCCCTTGATATCATTTGCACCTATGTGCCGTGACATTTCTGAAAATGCCTGGATAGCTTTGTAGATATTATCTTCTATCTTTCATCTGAGGACAACGTCTCTATTTTCTTGAGATTTGGGGCACATTTGAATCAGAACCAGAAAATAGCCCCCTCCAAGTTCTTGACCCAGCTCAGGTCCTAAACCACAGGTGCGGATCCACAAATTTAACCCAAAACCTTCTGCACACCCTCCGTCTAAATTACAAAGAAACAAGTGACAACAGGTGGCATGAATCCCCGTTACCTGTTTGATTCAGTCATAAGGCATGTACTGTACTCCTAGATGTTTTCATTCAGGAAATTGGTTACAGGGCTCCATACTCTCGGGAAGAAGTCCAGCCTGCTGGGCTTTGATAAAAAGGCCCTTTCAAATCTGAGCGCCTTGAGAATGGCATGTATCCAGCAACCAGTATGCAATGTGGGCAGCTCCTCCCGTGGCTCCAGGATAACTTAAATGGCAGCTGCAAACAAGATGTCTCTCTGAAGTGCTCTGTAACATGAAGTTATTTAAATATAGTATTATATTAGGTATTATTTTATAGCCTCGCCTGCCTGGGCTGAAATTGCAGCCCCATTTTGCTGGGGTACATACGGGCAGGCAGAGACCACCCTTGCCACAAGAAGATAGCAATCAAGGTGGAAAAAAAGTACTACCTCATAGTTCAGATACAGAACTGAGGCACAGGGAGAATAACATCAAACCGAAGATCAAAAAGGGAGTCTCTGACAGGACTGGGCTTCAACACCAATCACCTGAGTCTCAGCTCAGTGCTTTAACCGCAAGACCACCTTTCTGAATGAGAAACCTGGAGTGTGTTATCCAAAACCACAGTGTATACGCTGCTCACAGCTGGGCCATGTATTTCCTCTCTTGCATAGTACCATGTGTTCTATCAACATTTAATGAATAAGCATTGATAATCAACATCCTAATTAAAGACAGTGCCTCCAAAATAAATATCAGCATTAGACATTGCAGGGACAGATTAGTTTTCCGTTTTTAAGGG